AATTCTCTTAGGGATATTATCCAAGCAACAGAAGATCAGATCACTCCTGAATTAGTCCAACCAGAATTCACCAGGCAACTGAAAGTGTTTTTTCACTAGACAAAAACAGCTAAATTGAATTGAGCTACTTGGGCTGAACCCATCTGAACCAGCAAAGGAGACAGCTTAATCCAACACAGCATTAGTTTTTATAATCAGGAGGATGTAAGTTCAGTCCCTATGCTGGGTAGCAAATCTTGTCCATAGAATAGAACTTAACATGATTTCTTTATTATATTGTTTATTTGAATGGTTGGCAAAACATCAGTTTATTGACAATCAATTCAAACTTTATAAAATTATAAATAAGGATGTCCTTATAAGTGGTTCACACATTTTAATAATTTAGTAAATGTTTATAAATTTATGAAGAAGAAATTGTTTTTTTTTTTATTTAATTCTTCATAAACTAGTATATTGATAACTACTGTATTAGTTTTAATGCAATTGTATTAGTTTTTAGAATGTTGTAAATATAAACTTCTTGAAAATAAAAACTATATTGGAATTTAATATTTTTGTTGTAAATTTTCAAAATATGTATAAATTCACTTTCATAATAAAGGAACACAGCACATAGAAGGCATCTGTTGCTTTGCTGATGGAAAGATGATCAAATTTTGACATGCAAATTTTTTGCTCATTGAAAACACTATAGAGATTAGAAAATATATTTAGTTTAAATAGTGAAGTCATAAAAATGACTTCAAAAGTCAGAGTGGAACTTTTTCCTTACAATTGGAATATGACACCCAACTTAAAACAAACTACCTCCCTTGAAAATCTGAGAAAAAGTTAATTCCTAATTTGATTGAAGAATCTCAGTTTAAACTTTATCCTAATATAATAAGGACAACTCATTAAAAAGAATTGGTAATGCTTTTTTTCTTGAAATCTTTCTGTAGCATCTTCAGATTTAATGACTAAATAACAAAATAAGAAAATGCACTAATTGAATTCTGCTACTAAAGAGAATGTGTCAGTTGTTGTAAAAGATTCTTTTGTGCTGTCAAACTTTATTAAATGCATTGAAGAAAATTATTTTGTGACCTTTTGTGTTTATATTAATTTCTGAAAATCCTCTTCAATGTTTTGGTTTTGATTTATGTAATTGGTAAATTGTATGCTTTTTTTTTTTTAAATTATGAACTTTTGTTCATCAAATATAAAAGACATTTAATGAGTAAATCATTAATGAGACTTATACTTTCAATAAGCCATCTCTTAAACTGAACCTTTAAAGTAAATGAAAATTTCTCAGACTGGATAAAATCATATGAAATAATAAAATTACTTTGACAAAAGTTTTTTATTAAGCAACTTTTAAAATATTTGACAGCTGCTCTTTTTAAATATTTAAAAAAAATCTTGACTTCCTTTGATTGAACTAATGAGAATGTTTCTTCTTCCTAATATATAGCAGTTTAAGCCCTTACAAAATTTCTTTAATTATTAGATTAATGCTTCAGTGAAAAATTTGCACTGAATTTTTCATGTATTTTTTTTTGCTTCAAAAATTTGTTTTTTTAGTTTAAATAGAAAATGTTTAATTTGAAAACTTGCTGAAAGTTAACTTTTTAATTTAACTTATTGGATCATTTTTAGAAGAGATCTTTAAAAAAACTTGTGCTGATTATTATTGATTCATATACATTTTTATTAATTTTAACTAGTATTTACTTTTATCTAAATTACATTCAAAACAATCAGCACTAACAATACTAAAAGTATTTGTTTTATAAATATATATAAATTATTAATAAATTAATTATATTTTTATTATAAAAATAATGCTAACTATTATTTTTTGTCATAATATTTGCTACTTTTTGGCTAATGATACTTTTCAGTATGAAAACTGAAAATATTTCGCGCTGATAAATTCCACTGCCATGTGGGACACATGGCACAGTGGTGTTTTAGATCCAGTGACAGACCCAAAGAAGGTTCAATTCCTGATTTTCTTTAAAGCAGTGTTTCAAGTTTTTCCAGCAGTTAAAACTTTTTGTAGCAGCTGGGCATTTACTAGGATTTGCTGAGACAAAAGGAGCAAAAATTCAAATCGTACCAAGAGCTTATGTAGATTGATGAATTGTAAATACTGGCAATAAAAAAGCAACTAACAAATTAAGATGAAAATAAGTACTAGTCAAAATTAATACTAATGCCAGCCTGTAAATTAAAGAAAGATTGTAAATTTTTCAACTTTTAAGTTTAGAAATTGTAATTGATTTTTTTTTTTTTTTTTTTAAACAAGTTTTCTTTATCAAATGAAAGCTATAAAAGTATATTTTTTTAAAATATATTTTTTTTACTATTTTTCCATACAACTATGGTTGGCTGCTAATATCTCCTATCTGTCTATCTGCTAATCCTGTTAAAAGATACTTCGTCAAGCATATTTTTATTTCAACACAGAGCCAACCTTTAGTTCATACCACAACTATGTTGAGTAAATATCAATCATAGTTTGTGAGAGAAACTATGTGAATATATAGCACATTATACTTGAATATATTGATATACAAGTTAAATATCCATTTATTTATATGGTATAAAAAAATGAAATATTTGAAATTTCCTATTTGTTTATTTTTCATTATAATGTATATTTAATATATTTTAATGATAAATACACTATATGAAACTATAGCACATTATCTGACATGTTCAGTAGTTGAACACAGCCAGTACATGCAAATCCTCTAAATGCAATACATTTAATATATTCTATCCTTAAAGAAGTTACAAATAGACAACGGTGATACTCAAGTGAAGGAACAGCAACACATGGGTAAATGAAGGAAGAGAGTTTTATTGTAAAAGAGAATATGCTACTGAAAGACAGGAAATCAGGTGGCAGGCTAGTAATTCCTGAAGCAAGCTTCCAGGTGAATCCTGTGCTCACTGATACTGATATAGTCAGTCCACATAGGCGATAAGTAGTGTGGTAAATTCCATTACAACATAATTCATTCAAGTCCTCTACCCATTCTCACTAACAAGGCTTGTGTCAACCTGTGGAATGCTTCTTAGGTACTTCCCAGTAATGATATTCAAGAAGTCACTTTTTTGACTAATCAACCAGAGTGAGATTAAAGTCCTGGTCTCACATTCAGATTCCAGTGTCCTAATCATTTGGATTTCCCACTAAAATTTGATGAAAATCAAGTTTTGGATTTCCAAAAATACACAATATATATATATATATATATATATATATATATATTTATATAAAGACATTTTTTATGTTTAACGTTGTTATTTATAGATACAAGTATTTAAGCAAATGCTCTGTTTATGATAAACAGTATTAAATAACATTTACCGGCCTGAATGTCCAAGAAATTTTCATAGAAAATATTCGTTTATCATAAACAGAGCATTTGCTTAAATACTTGTATCTATAAATAACAACGTTAAACATAAAAAAATGTCTTTAATAAATAAATTGTCAGACCTTGTCCATTTCTTAACATATATATATATATATATATATATATATATATATATATATATTACATTAACATTCTTAAATCAAAGGAAAGTATTGTTTTAAGGGTTAACACAAAAACTGAGGTACTAATTTGAAAGGATGGTCAAAATCTAAAGGAAACATCTTTTATAAAGCAAATGTATTTGCTTCATAATCTTCAAAGATTTCTATGATTAAAAATATTTTCCTTATATTAAAAAACAAATAGGAAGGACCTATGAAAATAAAGAATTTTGTTAAATTATTTAAAGAAAAATTATAATTTAATCATACACTTTTGGTATCAAAGAGGTTTTAATAATTGGGGTGTTAGAATTTTTCTTGGTATGCTCACTCCTTAGCACATATATTTGTGTCCTCACAAAAGATACTGCAAGAATGGTCAGTTCATTGTACAGCTACTGAAAATACATATCTCAGTCTATGGAGTACAGATTTTGACAGAGTTCAAAAGCACTTACACAGCATTATTCCCCACCCTGCAATCCTAATCCCACAGGCAAAATGTTGCTAGCCTCTCACTACTCTATGGCAGATGTTCGGACAAGTTAAATTCCTTAGTTCCACCAGCTCAGACCTTCACAGCTAGAACCCACCATGACATGTTCACAGCTGCAAACCATCCCCTTTGTGTTCCGTAAATTTCAATCAGACAGCTTTTTCCTTGGACCCGTTACTTTGTGGAAGTTACTCCCGGGGGAATGCTTCCTTGACAGCTACAATCTTGGTCTTATTAAGTCCAGAATTAACTGATACCATTCTTATAATTCTTACTTAACCCTTCTCGCTTGTAACAATCTCACTCAGTAACCCTTTACCTTGAGTGGTTCTTGGGCCTTTTATTGGGTAAACTATCAGTAAAAAAAATTTTTTAATAGTGGGGTTTTAACAAAAGACTGGGTGATTGGGAAATTATTTAAAGGGTTAAAAAGGTACCCCCTCCGTGATATCAGTCCTCTTATATGGCAGTGAATGCTGGACAATCATCTCAAAGATGAAGAGGAGACTTAAAGCAACAAAAATGTGGTTCTACAGAAAGATACTGAGGATACCATGAGTTGAACATGTGTGCAATAACAAAGTTTTAGAAAATGGAAACAAAAAGAAACTTAAACATTACAAAGAGACAGTTGAAATTCCTCAGAGCACATAATGAGAAAAGAGGGCTTGGAAAATCCAATACTTACAGGACAGCTTGAAGGCAACAGAAGAAAATGACACATAACATACTTAGTGAGCTTGAATTAATGAATGGCAGAACAAGGTTAAGGAGAAATAATAAAAAGATAAAATTTATTGAGCTACAAACAATAGAAATTGTAGAGAGCCATGATCACCTATGTCCTGAAGAGCCATAGCACAGAGAGATCTTGATGAATTAACAAAAATTAAAACATTTTAAATCAACAGAAGAAGATTATTCTTTTGCTTCTTTTCAACTTTCTTATTTTATGCTTTTTTGTAGATAAGGTTGAATCATGCACAATACTCTGCCCTGTAGACTGTATAATGTCACAGTGGAGTAAATGGTCACCATGCAATGCTAGTTGTGGCTACGGTTTCCGGGAACGTTACAGAACAGTTGAACAAAAACCATCAGCAGGAGGACGTCCTTGTCCAAAAATGGGAAATGATGGCACTGTAAGTATTTATTTTTCCTTTGTTTCAAGAAAGCTTTTAAGTTGTTTTTTTGTTTTTTTTTAATAAATGCTTTCTAAGTTTGAAATCAAAACTCAATAGAAAGAAAGCTCCATCATTTTATGATTCTTCATTTATTTGCAATTAAAACACTGCTGAGTAATGGTTAATTAGTTGACTTAAGCTCAGATGTTTGACCAGACCTTCTTGCCTTTGCTAAGTTATTGTAAAAAAAAAAAAAAAAAACAGGATTGTGAATTATTTCTGGTTTGTTTTCCAAAAATATTCACTTCATTAAGACTCATTCAGTATTTATTTAAAATTGAACAACAAAAACAACACCTTTTTGCATTTTTGAATTTTTATCAAAAGAGAAAAAAAAGTATACTTTTATTGAAATTTCCAGTTTCAAAACCAAATCATCATTCTATACAAAATATTTGCGTCTGTCTAAGATTCTATATTTATACCTTTGATTAATTGAAAAGACGAAATTCCCTGTATAACATTAGGAACTAGTGCAGCAAAACCTGAGGTGAATATTTTGTTTTATAAAGAGGCTTTTAAGAAGTTATTTTTCTTGTTATAGATAAGGTTATATGAAAGAAATTCTCAACAAAAGAATATAAAACAAACAATGAATATGTGTATATATTTCATTAAATAATATAGACATATTATGTCTATTTTTATTCTGATTATTCTCAGTTCTTTAATTAGTTTCTTGAAGTTATGATGAAAAAAATTGATTAGAGAACTGAAAAGGATCAGTATAAAAATAGACATAATATATCTATATTGTTCAATGAAACATGCTGCCTATATATATATATATATATATATATATATATATATATGCGTGTATGCGTGTGTATGTAAGTTGTGACCTCTGTTTGTTATCAAACTCCTCCTAGGGTTTTGGAGACTGACTCCCACCTCTTAGCCATATATATTACAAAACTACATTACCCAGGATACTTGGATAAGATAAAAATGTTACATGCAGCAAGGTATGGGTAATTTGGCTAATATATATATATATATATATAAAAATTAAAAAATGTTGAAATGCAACACAAAATATAAAAAAAATATGTTAATACTATTAAATAGAAAAAATACAAAAATATCTTCAAAAGTCACTTAAGTTCTAAAAAAATTACTTTTGTCAGTTTCAATGATTTCTACTCATAATATAGCTATCAGACATCAAATATGACAGTCATTTTAATATGTGTAGCAACAAAAATTATCCATTTCATTTATGGTACCTATAAGGTATAAAGGATTATACTATGCTTCTCTATTCAGTACAATGGGAAGGTACAACACAATATGTGTCACCCTGAAACTAGACAATTGGTTTCTGGCTTTTTGGTCAGAGTCCAAAAACAAACCACATATTTTTCATGAAGCTTTCTAACCAAACAACATGTGAGCAATGAGGAATTTTGAAGGAAAAAGGCACTTATAACCATAAATAGAGAATTTCTCGGACATACAATGAGGAAAGAAACCTTGGCGAATTTGACACTCACATGACATTCAAGGCAAGAGGAGCAGAGGGAAACAGCCAGCAACTTACCTAATGAGTTTATACAAATGGATGCCAGAACAGATAGTGAGAGGGACAGTATGAAAGAGAGGAAAATGTACAGAGCCATAATCACTGAAGAGAAATGGCATATAGAAGAATCCAGACATACAGTTTAATCTTGGCACTTATTAATTTTATGATAGTAACATATTTTAAGTTTCACTTTTTATGCTAGAGCAAAGATTATTTGTTGCATTTATCGTATTATGTAAAGGAATACTTATCTTTGCACTAGTCATTAAATTTTAGAACTATGTTTTAGAGCAACATATGTTCTGAAGGATTTCATATTAGCTTACAAGACAAAAATATCAAGCACATTGCAATGATTTACATTGTTTCATCATTCAGTCAGTACGTTTTTGGTCATTTTTTTTTGTCTCGCATCACACAATCCAGGTGACCACACATTCCACATTTAAGCTTTTCTCTTCAGACTAGACAAATTAAAAATAGACTAAAGGCTTAGTATTTAGAGATCTGTCCCACACATTGCACTCAGAGATATAGGGGAAAGTACACTAATCTGTGGAAAAGGAAAATGCGTTATTTTCAGAAGACCATCACAGAATTGTATCTGACCTTATTTGATATACCATATTCAAATTGGTATAAAATTCCCTGGCAATAACAAAGAACCTAAGAATAATGCATTCTGTTATTATCTGGAGTTGAATACTTTTTCTATTTTGGTTATTATGAAAAACAGTGTCCACATAAGTATTAGTTTTTTTTTTCCTTTCCGTATTGATTTAATAGAATTGGTTTATTTGGTATTCCAACAGCTAAGGTTATTGATAACATGGTAATTAACAAGTTTCTGCTTCTGTCTTTCATTGTAATATTTTAGACTAAATTTTCACCGAATATGTGGCTACTCAAAGCAGAGGGTTACTATATGATGATGTATAAGTGTAAGAAAAGATAAGACATGAAGTTCATGGGTTATGCAAGAAAGGTAACAGTTAACCATAGACTTGAAGACAAGATTGTAGTGATCATGAAAACATCCTGCCAGGAGTGTTCCACAAAGCTTGGGAAGAAGCCTTCCAAGGGGAAATTACTACTTACTAATGGAATACAAAAGGAATAGGGATCATTCATATTTGTGTATGTGGCATTGCAGTTCCCAGTTGTAAAGGTCAGGGTTAGTGGAACTAAGGAATATAATTTGTCAAAGAATATCTCATGAAAATAGTGATAGCGCTAGTGAGAGGCTTGCAACTTTTTATCTGTGAGAAAGAGTTTGTAGAGTGGAAAATAATTCATCACCCACAAGGACGTGGAGACAGTTTTGAGTGCTCTTCAGACAAGCAAGTGAGGAATAGGCAGTTCTAGTCCAGATATTGCAGCAATACTCCATTTTTTATATGATCTGGCTCTTGTAATGATCAAGTATATTAAGGTGAGTCAGATACTTACTGGAGTGATACTCTAGTGATTAGCTACTTCAATAATTAAATCTATAAGGTTGCTTACAGAATATTTTTAGTACATGAAATAATGGTGTTGACGAGAGTACAGGCAAAATATAATAGACCAATTGACTTGCAATGCCATATAACATTTATTAAAATAAAATTAACAAAAAGAAAGTTAAAAACAAGAGTTTCTTTTGTTAGAAGTAAATTGTATACACAAGGAAAACTTTGTGAATATGTTATAGTGGAATTTACTGTGTTGGTGTGTTTTAGCGGGATGCATTCACAGCCCTCTTAGCTTCAGTGTGGACAGTTCATGTCACATAGTTCAAAAGAAAACCTAGAAGACAAAGTTACTTTAAGGTTCATGTATTTTTATATTTAAGAGCTGCTACTGATATAAGGTTTATTTAGGGCTACTACTATGTTTAAGTCTCCTATAGTACAAAGAACCAACAATTTTTCCAACACCTTTGGCAATAGATCAGATATATGAGTTCTACTTGAGGCCTGGAATAAGCTTGAATCCCAACAGACATTCAGAGCAAGGAGCATCATTGAGAGAACACCCATCCATCATGATAGGTGAAAGTTTGGGGTCTGCTTGATGGTGGGAGAATGTTACTAGTTTGGTTTTGGCCATATTGAATTTTACAATTTATATAGAATTGGGGATCTTCCATAAAGCAATATTTTCCAAGCTAATTCTGCAGGTTATTTGTTATTCTAGTCTAATATTAGAGCAGTTCATGTTCATTTTTATGTATGACTTCTTGTTTTCTCTCTTGAGGCCAAGGTACAGATGAGAAGGAGCTATACTAATGACAAGGTATTCAGAGTTTGAATACAAATGATCTTGAACAAAAAGAAAAAAAAGTCCTCTACCATGGGTTAAAAAAAAAAATAGGACACTAAACAGAAACTGATCTTGCATTGGAATGACAGCCATGATGGCACCTACCCAGAATGCATCATAAAAATTCAGGATGTGGAATGAATAAATACTAAACACTTCAGATACTTCATGTTTGTATTCCATGCTAATAGGAATATATACTTGAAAAACAAGTTGGATAAAATAAGAAAAGGTTTATTGTAAAAACCAGTACAATAAGAATAAAGGTAACAATTATGCACAAGGTTATCGCAAGTCAATCCACTTGTGAGTGCTACTATTGAAAAGTTGGTAGTTCTCGTACAAGTTCGAGTCATACTCAACAAATCCCAGCTAGTATATGTGGCTACCCGCCATGTTGCATGTGGCACAAAGCTGGTTTAACATGGGTTCTCCAAGCCCATAGGCTCAGCCAAAAATATTCCCTTTTTGAACCCGCATAAATGGGTTATAGGGCAGTTTACCTCCCCGAATGAGAGACTGCCCTTTGGTGGAGCCTCATCTGGGTTCCTCTCTGCCTTCAGGCAGAGAGTTTGACATTTTAGCTGGAACAGATCCCAGCTAGACTCTGTAGTCCATTGACTTACAGATACTTATAGGCAATTATTACCTATAGTGTAGTCATTCATGAGGGTGACAGGTTATTGCATTACATCACTTCAGCATATGGATCAATTGTAACAAATTTAGTGGAGGAGATAATGAATCTGAACATCAAATCGACAAAACTACCTCTAGTTTGGTCTCACACCAAAATTTTCTACAAAACCAAAACATTAATCTAAGAACTTGCTTCCTATTCTTAAATAGCTTCATCAGACTTTCATATGGATGTTGAGCATGGTGCTCACCCCATTCAGGAATGTCTAAACTATCAGCTATATCCAGCCACTTTCTCGGATCAATGTTTAAAAAAGGTTTTGAGTCAAAGAAGCCTGTAAGTCAGAGAGGACAATTTTTCTTTGAACCTTGTGAACTAGTGCTATAGAATCACAAAAAATAAACTATACCAAATATTAGAAAACATATTTGTGGAATTTTCAACATCAGCAACAAATAAAACTGACAAGTTTCACAAGTAACTCAAAGA